ATGTCCAGCACTGCACAAGCCACAACAGTACAGTATTGCTTTCTATTTTTAAGGTGCTGTACCTCTCGAGGGGTACGCACAGCATATCTTTTTCTTCTCCCGGATACGCACCCGCTAATGTATATTAAAGTTTACTCCGATACTCGCCCCTACAGCACTGCCACGTCTGGAGGGCTCACCACCAGCCTCTTCCCGCCTGGAGACAAGGACGTCTCCTTCTTTCTCGTGCACGAGAGCGCGCTTCTTGTGGTTGTAGACGCTCTGCCGCCCCACGCGCCCCTTCTTTTGCTGTCATGCTGCGCCTGGCATGCTCCCCGCAATGTTGCCACGCCGCGGCGATGTCAGGTTGCCCGCTGCCTGCGGATTTGTATCATCTTCATGCATCGCCATATCGTGCGGACATGCAGCACACGATCCGTGTCACTCTTTACACCGTCTGCACCATCCTGCACCATGTCCCCGAGCCACACCGGGCCGTTGCTGCTGCTGTTGCACTCCTTGATCCCCCGGCATAGCCGTGGTCGTCATCCGCGGGAAAACTGCACAGTTTCGCACCCCGCAATGTATTCGGCGTATCGACATTCCGTCAATCTCTCCTCAACTTTTTATGCTTCAACGTTGCCTTGACGTCAGTGCGCTTCTGAATCCTACGTTCTTACAACTCCACTGCTGGAATCGCGTTCGAGTAGACTCTTTCTACCCTATCTGCCAGTGGAACATTCAACTTCACCATGGAACTTCACCATGGTATGAGCAGGATCGTGCTCCTCAACTGCCCGCAACTGCACAGTTCGACAACGACTATGTGTGTAAGTCATCCAGCCTTTGATCCATTCTACAGTGTCCAAAAAAAGGTTGCGAATTGCAATGGGATCAGAGCCCTCTCTAATTGATTCCCCCCATCAAGGTACGGCCTACATAGCGTCAGACCGCACACCTGGCGCCGCTATCACTAAAATCACATCAACGCCGCGCATGGCTATATCGCCTCAAATCAATCCTAGTGACTCTCCGCGAAGGGCCCCCTTTCTTGAAACAGTATGTTCGGGCACCCTGTGCTCACCCGAAACCGACAGACCCCAGCGTGAGCTCCGTCTGAGTAAAACTGCGTGTTCTGTTATCACGCGTTCGAAAAGGGCTTTGCGAGGGAGACAGATCGAGGTATAACTGCACGCTCTCCGCTTCTCGGCGGAGAAAGACTGTTTCTCAATCTAATCCCTTTGCTTTAGTACCGAAGCATCGCCACCGACACCTTCAATGTCACACAAGGGACTAGTTGTAAGGCTCTGCTTACTGTCCCACTTCCTTGCGCACACGAGCGTCCTTCAAACCAATTGTGCCCTCTCTCCCACGCTTTGAACTGCGTCAAATGCACAAGCACACCTGATGAGTTGTAAAACCCTACCACGATCACTGCATCACATCCCTCTTACGCGATCTGCCTGCAAAAGACAGCATGTAGAGCTTTGAACTCATCGTTATCCCTTTTGGCATGAGCATAAAGTCTCGCTTCAAAATCTACTATGATACTGTGATCTTTTGCACGCCTTGACAATCCTCAGGTATGAAGTTGATCTTTATCGAGCGTCGTTGATTTTCACGCGATGAGAAGGATCACTCATCTACGTATTGCTTCGATGCCATCCCGTTCTACTGCCCCCACCTTCACCAAAAGACATTGCGCCCCCCAAAAGTTACGGATCCCACCGCTCTCAGCTTGTCTCCATTAGTAATCAATTCTTCAGCGTTTTCCGTCTTGTAAAAACTAGCCATGAGAGTGTACGAGGTATGCGTGGACTGGGGAGGTCCAATTCGCAATGGTTTTATTTTGAGATAGAGAGTCAGACCCGTTCCTAACTCGCAGTGAGTAGGCGACGTGTTCACTATTGTTTGCGCTTGTTTATTCATCGTATACGGTACCGTTCTCATTGGCTTATTCTGTAACACGGCTTGTGCATAACCGTGCGCAACATGTCGTTGCTCTCTAAATAACAAAGTCCCGTCTGCCCACTTTCTCCCTGCCCTCATTGGGACATGTTTTCACCCCTTTCAATCCACTACTGTACCTCTCCGCGGTTTCCGTCGCCATGCCTCCGTCTATGCGTGCGCAAACGCAACAGCACCGGTGGCGGCAAGAGAGCGCAGAAATCGAACGCATATGCAGACGAAGATGTTGGGAGTGCCAATAATTTACACGGTTGGTCAGACGTCAGGAAATAATCGACACTATCCTGCACGCCTCAGATATAATTGCCCTTCCGCGCGACGACACGAAACTGGTTCGTCACCTCTTTGACTTGTTCCTTTACAAACATTGAAGTGATAGTACTGTAGTATAAATACACGGGCAGCAACAACAGACAAAGGGATAAAGGAGCTTTACGCAAGTCGTGGAAAGAGCGCTATTGCTGTTAGAACAAACGTTAGGATGGATCAGATCCGGTATGAGTCCGCTACCTTCTTTTTTCTTGTAGCCGAACTGTAGTGGTGAATAGAAAGGCAACTGTGCAGAGGGAAACAATGTGAGAACTTTAATGTATCGGATGAGATGGATCAAATCGGTCTGGCTGCTCCACCATTTCCGAGAAGCGTTCTCCTACAGTACTTATAGAAAAGTGTATCGAGGTACACAAAAGGGAAGTGAACCAATGCAGTGGACAAGGTAGCTATGTCTTGACTCACATAGATGCACATGGACGGACAGGTAATTATTGCTATTAGCCACGCCATTATAGTGTGATCACAGTATTGCGGGGCACCGACTACACCATCGCAATTGTTTCGCAACATGTTTTAAAGCCGCTTCGCCCCTTCTGGACTGATATCGTTCTGTGCCGCCCAGAAACAGAGCGTTCAATGGACTCATCCATTTCGTGATCTGTGTCAATTCCCAGGTCAAACCAATCTTCGTTGCTGATAAGTGCGGCTTCATCGTCTTGCTACCGACGGTCGGAGTGATAAATTCCTGATTCCAGGAGGCGGGCGACGGAGCCAGACTCATAACCTTCGCTAGCTATCAGGACATCAGCGTCCAAAATGCCTTCGAACCTGTCAATGGCCGCCTCCAGCACCTGGTGCACGTACAAACCCAATTCTCGGGGCGTTGGTCGTCCTGTCAAAGGCTCACGTGTTTCCTGCGACGTCACAAACAAACGCATGTTCTGGAAAATTGTCCTTCTCGCGCCGCCCAGAGCCTACTCGTCGTCTTGCTGTTTGCCTTTGCCTTATCTCGGAACAACATGTGGAAGAAACGAAAGAGACAGAGGGCACGAGATGCAATGTGTTTCGCGCGATTTGTGCTTGCTTCGTCAACCATCCATGTGACAATACGGATACGTTCAGCATGGGGGAGCTACTGTACCGACCCGAGCACATTTCGGAGTGCTCGGGTCGGTACAGTAGGGAAGGGTGTGGAATTCATAGATGTCTGGCCAGAAGTAGTGTCGTTGGCAGGAAGAGGGACGCATGAGTTCGGGTTTAGAGCCGTGAGGAGGGAGGGAGTACGGGGGTTATGGAGGGGTATCATGGACACATATGAGGCATTCGCTGGGGTGGGATAGGCGATGAAGACCATAGGTTTGTTGGTGGCAGCTCAATTAAGATCCCGAACGATACGCATTGTAGAGCAGTCGATGTTCAGGATGTAGATTTCGGTGATAGTTTTTGCGGTTGTTCTCTGGAGGTGCAGAGATAATGAGGCTTTTATAGAGCTTCTTTTACCCCTTTCATGTCCTTCGAAAGGTATGAACTCGAATTTTGTATTCGAGTTACAAAGGGCTTCGCACGAACGTCTGTGTCTGAGAGACGGTTCCAGTTTCGCTTTTTGTTCGTTTGGCGCGTCTCCACTAGTATACGTGAATTAATAATTAGTGCAGTCAACAGTAAAAGCATTTGCAATAAAGAACACCTCACAGAAGTTACTGTGGCCTATACCAATATGAGTATCCACACTATTAGCCTACCCAGACTATTTGCGGTGTTTGGGCGTACTGTACAACGTAATCATGTGCAACTAACTGCAACTGTGTAGATCATTCGGCACGGTGCAATATGGACGGGGTGTGGTTTTTTGGTTTATTTTCACGGTCCTATTTACAGTGGGACCCTCCCTGTTTTTGGTAAAAGGGAAGCAGGGATATCGGGGATAAATGTGCCGATCTTCCGTCGTTGTGGTTGGGTCTACAGTGACCCGGTCACCCCACTTTATGTCAACCAGAGCAAACTCTGGTGCGCGCCGCTCCGCTGCGCCGTCTTCGGTAGAATAGTGATTAATCATTAATTCTACAATGGTACGCACCCTAAATCATCATCAGCCAACATCGAGCGATGGCGGCTGTCATGGAGCCTTTTCATTGGACTGTTGGCTTTCGCCAAATTACAGGCGAGAGTCAACATTTGGGAGCCTCCTCTGTCGGCGATCGCGTTCACCAATTGGCCAGGGTCGAGGCAGAGCACCAATGCAAAACGTCTTGGAGTGAAGTACAGTGGGTCCTACGCATTAGTGCCGCCCCATGTGAGACCCCGAAATGTACTGTAGTGGGAGACGGCATTATTAGTATGTGTCGTCACATCTGCTGTATCTGCATGCGCTCGGTAATTAACGTCTGTCTGCTCCGTGCTAGTTCTCTGTTGTGTTTCGCAGTGAGAAGAAATAGATGCGATTGAGCGTCTGGAACTTGGCACTCAGTCGCCTAAAGTTCCAGCTCTCCAAACAATTTCGCGATCTCGACGACATGGGGTAAAATTTATAGTCTTTCTCTCAATTGCGTTTTCCGCGATCTCATCTTCATCACTTGATTGCGTTTCAGGCGGATTCTGCACCACCTGAGCCGTCTCCAAAACATCCATGGCGTCATTGGTGGCATAACAGCCGGAACCGTCTGACACGTGGCACTTTTCGTGTTCGTGCGTCTGGGCCTGCACTATTAGGAGGGTGACACAAACAAAAGCGGCACTAATGCGTAGGACCCACTGTACTGCACCTCTGTCGAAGCAGCTGCTTACCGAACCCCGTAAGTCCTGGGCTGCTTCTCCGTCCCCCCCCCCCCGCTGAAACTGCGTGCCATCACATCCTCAACACGAAGCTCATCGATGCGGAGCAAGTTGAGAATCATGTTGTAGGTAAGTCGAAATTGGGAGCGCAGCGGCTTGGGGACCCCCGTTAAGACGGTCTTGACATCGCTCTGGACGGGAAAGTCAGCTGTCGTAGGGAATAGCAACACAGTGCCGACGTCGTCCAATCCTCGACGACCGGCCCGTCCCGCCATCTGGATGTACTCGCCAGGTTCGAGAAGGCGATGGCCTTGATTGTCGTACTTGTGGATGGCTGTGAAGACGACAGTTCGTGCAGGCATGTTGACACCC